ATATAATAATAATAATAATAATAATAATAATAATAATAATAAATAAAAGTGATCACAAACAGTCTCTTAATTAAAAAAAATTAGGATATTAAAAGACGATAAAGATGAACAAAATCAAGAAATGTTTAGTTCCTTGAATTTGTGGTGTAAAGTAAACCAAATACAGGAAGTTTCAATATTTCGACTCTAGTTAAATGTGATTGGAATGCAGTGTAAAATTTGTCGTGAATATAGATTTTATTTTTTTTTTGTTTAAAATCTATCTATTCTAAATTCGTTATATTTAGCCTATTTTTAGATACATTGCAAACTATTATCTGTCACCATGATAACTGTTGTCGCTCGCCACGGTAATTATTGTCACTATCGATAGCTGCCACCTCCATCGCCGAGCATTTTTTACATTGATTTCAATTTTTTTAAAACATTAAACATAAAATGCAAATTTAGCTAATGATGTTTTCTATTTTGTTAATTCTATCTTTTACAGACTACATACTACTTAATTCTTATGTATTTATATGTCTAATGACTAAACTTCACTTTTTACATAAATGCCATCTTAACTATGAGAAAAGATGTATTATGGCATTTTGAACATGACACGGTGATATTTTGATGTGATATGAAAGATTTGGGTGGTAAAAATATAAAAAAGAAAAGGTTTTGGTATTAGATATGTAAATACAGAAGACTTGGATGGTATGTATGTAAATGCTCCTTAATTTTAATGATCATGGTAATCCTTTTTACATTTCCTTAATAACTAAGAAGAAGAGAGATTGAGATTGCTATCCATTTAGCATGGCATAACTACTTATCCACACACTATTTTCGCCTTCCATAGATTATTTAAAGAAATATTTACATGGATAACACTCAATTCCTATGTATTTACATATCTAACACTGAAACTTACAATTTCTACCACCTTACTCATGCATGAAAAGTGAATTCTACTTCTTAAAACTTGAAATGATGACTTCTTTTTTGGTGATGCGAAAGATTTTGATGGTATAAATGTAAAAGTTGAATTTTGGTGTAATGATGCTTAAATAAATAGAAGAATTTGTTAGAGAAGCAGTTCATTATAGATGTGATCAGGCGTGTATTTAATGAAATTGTTGCTGCCATGCATATAAGGTTATAAAATAGTTCCTTCATGCCTAACGTAAGAGATGCTTAGTTGTGCATAAGATTTGAGTGCTATTTATGCAAATCTCTCAAATTATTATTAACAACTATAGGATAACAAGAATGATGGCAAGCCTTTATCCCACTAAGTGTGGTCGGCTACATGAATAATTTTTTTTTTCCATTTTGTCGTATTGAGTGTCATATTTTCATTTAATTCTAATAAATTAAGATCATTTTTTATACAACATGCCCATACCTTTTTAGGTCCAACTCTATCTTTCCTAACTTAAGTAGAATCTAAAACATATACTCTCCTAAATGAATCATTAGATAGCCGGCGTTTAATATGACTAAACCATCAAAGTGCTCGGTTTTACCAAAACATCTACTCTCCTGGTTCTAATATCGTGCTCAATTACTTATCTCATACATTGAATGTATGAGATCTGCTCTCTCATTTTTTTAAATTAAAATTTCCCTTTTTAAAAACCAAAATTATATATATAT